CCCAGCTGATACCCCCTCCTCCCCGTTCACCTTTTCCAAAGCAGGAACCGTAACGCCGCCCGGGCGATTCATAGAGCGACTTTCCGCAGCCGCCTCCACGCCACTAGCGCTGCGTCTCCCATAGCAACAGTACACAGATACGGGCGCTCTAGTCCCGCCCACCCGGCTTTTCCTCGGCACCTACCAAGAGAAGGGGAGGGGAGCAGCGGTTTTCTGCACTTCCCCCTGTAGCCAGCGAAAATGGTACTTGCCACCCGACGGAAGGAACTAGCGGCAAAATCCGCTTGTTCGTGGTTTAGAGCAAAAATAGCCTGGCCCTGAGCGTGCATCCTGGGGTTATTCATTTTTTTTTTTGAAAAGCAAGCAAAAGGCCATATTTACGACAAATCTCATTGTAAATACACGGAAAAGGGTAAAATCATGTAGATCCTCATGAATTTATATGATCCCATAGCAACAGTACACAGATACGGGCGCTCTAGTCCCGCCCACCCGGCTTTTCCTCGGCACCTACCAAGAGAAGGGGAGGGGAGCAGCGGTTTTCTGCACTTCCCCCTGTAGCCAGCGAAAATGGTACTTGCCACCCGACGGAAGGAACTAGCGGCAAAATCCGCTTGTTCGTGGTTTAGAGCAAAAATAGCCTGGCCCTGAGCGTGCATCCTGGGGTTATTCATTTTTTTTTTTTTTGAAAAGCAAGCAAAAGGACATATTTCCGACAAATCTCATTGTAAATACACGGAAAAAGATAAAAGTCGGATCTACATGGATCCTCATGAATTTATATGATTTTTACATTGAAACGAAATAAAACTACCATTATATTGTGGGCACCACAAAAATCACGCATCCACAGATTCGTGGCACCACAACAGCGCAAACACATGATTCCAGAGCACGGATCCTCATGAATTCATATGATTTTTAACGCTGAAACAAAATAAAACCACCATCATACTGCAGCCCATGTCTTAGACTATAGGCAGCACTCCAAAAATCATGCCCCCACGATTTCGTGGCACCACAGAACTGCAAAAACGTGATTCCAAAGCACGGATCCTCATGGATCCTCCGGGTTTTTCAATTGGGTCACTCCAAACACACCATCAAATCACATAACACGTCCACAGCTTGCACCACAAAAATTGCACATCCACGGCTTCGTGGTGACACCATTCTGCAAAAACGCCACTCGGCCATCACACGCGAGAGGTGGAATTTGCCCCTAGGACTCCAAGGCCACCACCCCGGGGCTCAGAGAGGCGGGGGAACATTTCGCGCCCCCCCCCCTGTCGTTGCCGCTGCCATTAGCACTGCTGGCGCCGCCGGCAGCCATAACTTTTTCAATTATGTCCGTATGAGCAATCATGGATTCTCTATTGGCAATTATGTACTCCATTATCCCCTATGGGCAAGCAACCTCTCCATTATTCCCTATGGGCAGTCATGGATTCTCTATTGGCAATTATGTACTCCATTATCCCCTATGGGCAAGCAACCTCTCCATTATTCCCTATGGGCAGTCATGGATTCTCTATTGGCAATTATGTACTGCACTATCCCCCAGGGCAAGCCTACTCTCCATTATTCCCTATGGGCAATCATGGATTCTCTATTGGGAATTATGGATTTTCTATTGGCAATTATGTACTCCATTATCCCCTATGGGCAAGCCTACTCTTCATTATTCCCTATGGGCAATCATGCATTCTCTATTGGCACTCATGTATTGCCTATGGGCAATCGCTGTCCACTCATGTACTCCCTATCGGCAATCGCTTGTCAGTTTTAGTACGTCCCCCCCTATTCCAACACCAAAGGAGAACATTTTCATCGGGGTTTTTTCAAAGAGCCCAAAAGAGGACGGACACACACACACACACAATAGAGGACATCTAGTAATCCTTATTGATGTTTGACTGTTGTCTAAGGCTTGGTCTGTAGTTTTAGAAGTTGGCTCATGTATTTATTATCTGCTGTGAGTTTTTTTGTAGGGTAAGGCGGGCTAGAAGCCCAATGAAATGAAATATCCCTATAAGCATTAAAAAAGGTAATATATAGAAAACAGCAACAGCCTGCATTGCAAAATGTTTAAATATTATAGATGTCTTATCTTACTGATTGCCCTGGTCGAATGCATAGCAGAATCAGGTTAATATAGGTCCCTGCCACACGGGACGGCTGAAACGCGGCTAATCAGAGCCACACCAAACTCGAGACACCGCGGCGGGATCCCACGGATCCCCTCAGCCACGGCGCATCGCTCCCCGGCACGATCAGATGCCGGGGAGAAAGCGACGGTGCGAGGGGAAGCCTGGCAAACTGCGCATGCTCACACATGCGCAGTTCGGCCAGGAGCTGGGGATGCGCCGGCGCAAGGATGGGCCGGCGATCCCATGGCCAGCATGGGTGGTTCTTTTTTGGAGCGGATCAATGCTGGAAGGGACGGATCAGGGACGGAGACGGTACGCTCCCCAGATGTTGCGGTGGGATCGCACCCGTTTGCTCTGCCCCCGTTCCGTCCCGCTCCCGGCCCAAAAGGCCTCGTATGGACAGGACCATAATCTCACATAGATGCAGGGGCAGTTTAGAAATAAAGTTGTCCTCTTTTTATCTGGCAGGGCTTCAGTGCCTTTAGTTTTCCAGCACCTCATTACCAGGAAAAGCTGCACCAGCTGAATTTCTGCCTTATGCTGCACATCAGTGTAGGAATTCTGCCAAATCAAGGTGCCAACTCTATTGACAAGATAGTAATCATAGTAATATTTATGTTATGCCCACATCTCTCCTCAGAGTCAGTGTAAGGTGGCACTTAAGAGTGTTCGATCTGGGAGACTCAGGTTTGAATCCCTGCTCAGCTGTGGGAGCATACTGGGTGAACTTGGGCCTGTCACTCTTGTTCCTAGCCTAACCTACCTCACAGGATGGTTGTTAGATTAAAATGGAAGAAAGGAGGAAGCCATGAGCGCTTTGGGTCCCCACTGGGGAGAAAAGAAAGGTGGGTATAAGTGAAGTAAGTCAATAAATATGTGGAACACAATGGAATAAAATAGATATATCTTCAACTTGTAACCCTTTTAGACTTAAAAGGGGCCAAGTTAGTGGTCATAGAACACCTAAACAGCAAATAAACAGCTTTTATTTAAAGGTGGGGAAAATAGCTGCAGAAGTTACACTGCACACAAATAATGTGAATAATATATTGAGCATACTGGTGTTAAAAAGAGAAGCAAGTCTCTTTAGTATCTGGCCTGCTCTGCCTTGCAAACTGCAGGAAGTTCTCAAGACTTGGAGAGGCTTTCTTCTTCACAAACTCTGAGAAGTAGAAGCCCGGTGAAGCACTGGGAGGAAGTGTGTATGTGGGGGTCACTTCTGTTCATATAACCAGAAGTGACATCACACATTGCAGCGACGCTCTAGCGGTCCCCCAAATCTCTGTAGTTTAACCATAGAGATTTGGGAGATCGCTACCGTGTCAAGGCAATGTGTGATGTCACTTCTGGTTACACAACCAGAAGTTACACTGCACACAGCCTAGCTCTGCCCCGCGAAGCTTCTGGGGGGTTGCCGGCCCTACTGAGGAACTACTTTTTCTCACAGCCTCTTGGCTGCAGAACAAAAGGCCCCGTGGCTGGTGACTCTTCCGCAAACTGCCCTTCACAGTTCTCCACGGGCGTTCCCCAATCTGGAACTTCTTCAGAAATTCTCCTCAGAAAAACGCCTCTGCTTCTCCCTTTCTGTCTCTTGAACTTCAACACCCCACCGCTGTCCTCCTGTCGGGTTACCAGCAACCACTCGCCCAGGCCCAGCCTGTGGGTAGAAATGCCCTCCCTCTAGGTACCATTTCCAGACCAGGGCCCTTTATGCCGGTGAAAACACCTCACAGAACTTTTAATGTTTTTACAAGGCTTATAAACCAAACCCAAACAAACCCCTTCTGCTTTAATTTTGTTCCTTCACGAGGGGTCCTCCCTTCTCAAAAAGGGTGCCAACTCTTTAAATAATAATAATAAATAATGACCCAGCCCGCAGATGAAGCCCGGCTGGCTGCAATGTGTGTGTAATTAATGCTGTATGTTTGTCTTCCCTATCCCCACAAATATTGTTAGTCCGTCTCAAGAGTAACTGTAAATCGCTCTGAGCCCGCAGGTATGTGGGAAAGAGCGATCAATACATCGAAATAATAACAATAATAATAATAATTATTATTATTATTATTATTGATGATGATGATGATGATGATGATGATGATGATGATGATGATGATGATGATGATGATGATGATGATGATGATGATGATGGTACCTGAGGTAGCCTGTGTGGCAAAGCCCAGAAGGAGTTCAGGAACAGTCTGCACAGACCAGTGCAAAAACTTTCTGCTTAACTAAAGTGTGCATCTAGCCAAATTGCAAATGTTGGGGGGTGGGGTGGACCCAGGCCTTGCTTTACTAATCTCTGTCCTCAAAGCAGGCCCCGCACTGGCTAGGACGTTTCTCCTGGTCAGTTGGCAACCTGGCATTCTAATGAGCAGCCATGGCCACACTAACATCCTGTCATGTTCTTCTATATATGGCTATTAACTCCCATGCTTATTCTCGTTCCATAGTGGGGTTGCTACCTCTGTGCTGGGAAATCCCTGGAGATTTGGGGGCAGTGTTTGGGGAGGGGACAAAGTCCAGCAGGGGTGTGATGCCCCAGAGCCCAACCTCCAAATCAGCCATTTTCTCCAGAGGAACTGACCTCTGGAGATGAGTTGTAATGCTGGAAGCTCTCTAGGCCCACCTGGAGGTTGTACCCCTGTTCTGGAGATAAAGGACAATTACAAATATAATGAATCCTCCATATACCCCCACACATCCAATGTCCTCCAGGATATTCACTCTTGCCAAGGCAAGCCTGAGTATGAGGCAGACTGTATGGTGAACCAACCCAACTCATTTGATGGCCTTATGAGAGCCACCTTGTCCCTGACCCCATATGTGGAAATTATTTTTCCCCAAAAGTTTTTTTTATTTTATAACCAACCAACCAACAAAAAAAACATGACAAACATAAATACATACAATCCGGGGTTTCATATACATCTTTGTTATATCCCATATATGAAAATTATTAGCAGTAGGCTTGCCAAGTCCCCCCGGCGTGCGCATCACCCGGAAGTGAAAACTCTATGGTTTTCCCTCGGATGGTCGTGGCCCCACCCCCAGCGTGCCCGGCGTCATCACGTCACTTCTGGGTGACGTGCGTGCAGCACGCGCATGCTCTTCAGACACCGGACGGGAGTCCCCCGCTCAGGAGGAATTTACACTGGGCAACCCTAATTAGCAGCAGTCGTCAACCTTCCACTCCCACTAAACTGTATGCACAGGACAGGAAGAGGTGGGACCAGAGTTACGAATTCACTAGCATCAAGGCCAGGACAGTGGATGGTAGACCCAAACAGTTGAAATCTGAAAACACAAACAGAGCACCAAGAAGATATAACACCACAGTGAAGAACAAGCCCAGGATAAGTGCTCTGGATGAGTTAACCTTGGCCTGCCACCTTGCTTCTCCTTTGAGCATGTATACAAAGAGAGGCCAGAGATATGGCAGTTTGATGTCCATATGTATGCCCTAGTGTTAGCAGGTTCCAAAGGCAGTGCAAAAGGGGGAAAAGGCAGCTCTGTTGGGGATCCATGAGGATCTGCAGTGTTCCTGAGCGTCGCAGCTCATAGGAAGAAGACCTGCCGGTAATACTTTACTACCTTACAAGATTGCTGTGAAGATATGTCAAAATAATGTGTTGTCAGGGCCTGAAATTGCTGTCCTAAAGTATTAGAAACTCTGGTTAAATAATAACATCCACAAGAAACAGATTCCCAACAGTGTTCACGGTACTGCTATGATTTTGTTAAAAAAATTGCAATATGCCAGTCAAAAATAGAATCAAGGTGCAGACGGCTCTCATTTTATGAGTCACTTCTGATTCCCTAAAATCCTGTTGGGAATTCAATATTGGACAAATATTTGCAAGGCGGCACGCTGCAGAATAAATAGAAAAGGATGCAGCCCAGCGCCACAGCTATGGTACGCAGTCCAGTATTGTCAGTAGGGACTGACGGTTACAGATCTGTCTCTCTTATGTAGGGCAACTGTTTCTCAAAGACTGATCCGTTTGACCCTTCTGAATTCTTCGATGATGTCCGCCATGAGCCTTCAGCTCCACGCTTCATACTGGACTTCCAACCGACTACTGGGGGAAAAGTAAATACATATTTATTAATTGTTTTTCTTCCACTAAATAGAGAAATGTTTGCTTTGGCCTCAGCCACAGTCAGAATAATACTCAGAAAATGTGAATATTCAGAAACCATTCCTCTACTTGAACCTATAGGTGATCAGAAGGAAGAGACTAGGTTCTGGTCTTGGGCTTGGCTTTTCAGCTTACTGTGGGGAGAAGGAACCAGGTGAGCCAGGAGTTGATTCCAGGCAATGTTCCCTCTAATTTTCCCCTCTACTGAGCAGAGCAGTTCACATCCTGAGCAGAATACAACGGCTATAATCTTAAAATGGGCAATGGGCAGATTACTGCTAAGCAGAGCTTCCTGTGTTAATGAGCAGCCGCTCATGTGCACAGCTTAGAGGGAACATTGACAGGTAAGGGTGCCAACTGACTGGGAGGAAAACCCTTCTTGTCTCTTTAATAGATACTTAATGCGTGGAAATGTGCAGTTGAAACTCTGCCTGGCATGGAGGTAAATAACACCACCTGGTAGATAACAACCTGTTAAACCTCTATTAAGGGGACATGATATTTTTCTCCAGGCCAATTGGCAACCCTAGTTCTGGGGTGGTGGTGGCCAAGTTAGTTTGCTGTAGAAACCCCCCCAAAACAAACAGGGCCCTTAAAGACCAACAGTTTTTTTTTTTTAATTCTAGTATAAAATATTTGTGGACAAAAACAAGATTACAGGCATTTGAAGATTCAGGATTAAAAACTTCAGAGCATAAAATATGTATAGTCACTCAGGTTTAGAATTAGATATGACTAGGAAAAAGTCCCGTTGTGGAAATAAATACAACGAGCCTAGAAAGAGGCTCTGGGCGGGTGCCCCGGCCTTGGACACTCAGTGTCAATTTGCTGTGGCGACCTCAGCAGGGTATAATGACACTGAGTCCACCATTTTCTCCAGAGGAACTGATCTCTGCTACCTAAAGAACAGTTGTAATTTTGAGTGATCTTCAGCCCTCACCTGGAGATTAGCAACGATGGTTCCCCAGAAGGGAATGGTTGGTTTGGAGGGTGGAGTCTATGGCTTTGTACCTGTCCGAGGTCCCACGCCTCCTGAAACCTCACCCTCTTTAGGCTCCATCCCTCACATCTCCAGGAATTTCCCACCTGGAGTTGGCAACCCTATCTCCTTCCCAGCCAATCATCAACGTACCTTTATTTCCCCCTCACTCTTCCGCTTTCCACCCCCCACACACCTGCAGCCTCTCTCGTGCTCTGAAGCCCTGACTGCTACGTCACATTGGCTGTCATACGGGGGCCACCTCAGCAGCATATAAGGATACAGAGCCCACCATTTTCTCCAGGGGAACTGATCTCCGCCGTCTGGAAAGCAATTGTAATTCTAAGTGATCTCCAGCCCTCACCTGGGGACTGGACACGTTTTACCTCAGAACAGCAAACTGTTTAGAATGTTAGAGGCAAAAGCCAATCAAGTTGCATATGCAAACGACCTCTGTGTTCCGAGGCAAAGGCCAATGAGGCTGCATATGCAAATAACCGCTGTGTTCTGACTGGCTATGGAGGGGAGAGGAACAGCAAACTGTTTAGAATGTTGGAGGTGAGACTCAAGCAATGCAGCCAGTGGATAGGGACAGATTCTGAGTGACACACCAGGGCACCAACCAATTCCGGAGCGTGTGGAATGTTCTAGAGAAGTGCCACCACCATTCGCCTTTTATATATAAGGGAGATGGTCTGGAAGGTCTATTAACTACCATATTGTCAAGTAGACCAAGATGAGGGTCACTGTAAACTTGAGAGGGGTGTCCCAGTGCCTTGTGGGGCAATTTATAGCCACAACTTCAGACTACGTGACACCCTCTTTTGTCTCACACATGGTAAGTTCTAGAAACATCCTGAGGGGGGTTGATTTGGTCAAGAGGCTGCTTTGGGACAACCACAGTGCTTAAAATTTCACCCATTCGTACTTGCACTTTAAAAATTCAAATTCTTGCAGACACATGCTCACACGTGTGCTATGGCTCTGTTGACTTACTTACCATGTTTATTCTCCTGCACGTGATTGTCTTCATTAGGCCTGGCTTTGTAGCTCTCCAGTGTCAGGTCTGAAGAATCGTTTTCTGTGTGGATGACATCCAGAAAGAAAATAATGAGACACAGTAAATACGGCAGAATTCTTCACAAAGAGCACTCTTTGAATACAATCCTAAAGCCACCGGGGGGGAAATCCTATTGATCATCTGTTTATACTTGCTTAGCATTTCACTGTTTGTCAGTTACAGGGCAATCCTAAGAACTTTCCTGGGAATAAACCTTATGGAATAGACCTGTGCAGGATTCTGACTAGAGCTGTTTATGATAACTAGAATGATAAAAGGATTGGAACACTTTCCCTATGAAGAAAGGTTAAAGCACTTGGGGCTCTTTAGCTTGGAGAAATGACGGCTGAGGGGTGACATGATCAAGGTTTACAAGATTATGCATGGGATAGAGCAGGTAGAGAAAGAAGTACTTTTTCCCCTTTCTCACAATACAAGGACTTGTAGGCACTCAATGAAATTGCTGAGCAGAGGGGTTAGAACAGGATAAAAGGAAGTACTTCTTCACCCAAAGAGTGATTAACACATGGAATTCACTGCCACAGGAGATGGTGGCAGCTACAAGCATGGACGGCTTCAAGAGGGAATTAGATAAACATATGGAGCAGAGCTCCATCATTAGCCACAAGGTATATCTAGGAACTCTCAGTCTGGGGCAAGTGATGCTCTGTATTCTTGGTGCCGGGGGTGGGCAACAGTGGGAGGGCTTCTAATGTCCTGGCCCCACTGGTAGACCTCCTGATGGCACCTGGTATTTTTGGCCACTGTGTGACAGAGTGTTGAACCGGATGGGCCACTGGCCTGAGCCAATATTGGCTTCTCTTATGTTCTTATGATTGCTCTCCAAAAGCAAGATGGTGGTTGGGTCTGGAGACCTACAGTAGGATGGAGAGTGCAGGACTGGCTTGCATTAAAGCTAAGGTGGTTAATGGTACGACACGAAACAGAGTTACATCTTTCCAAGCCTCTTTAGGATTGCCCTGTTAAACACCTTAGCTATAACACAAGCCAGTCCTAAATTTTCTATTCTACCATAGGACTCCAGCCCCAACTGCTATGCTGCTTTTAGTGCTAGAACGTGTGTTCTAAAATGGCCACTGTATGTAAACAGGCATGAGAGCTCCTTTAAAATTTGCCCATGTTCTCACATATGTAGCAACATTCATTTAAAAATGGCCGCTAAAACATATCTGTTTTCATCAGGTGAACCTTTCTTATACTGAGTTGGACTCTTGGTCTATCAAGGTCAGCTTCATTTACTCTGGCAGTGGTTATCCAGGGTCTCAGTTGCAGTTTCATATCACTGGCCCCAGTCACACGTAAGGTTTTGGGCCGGTAGAAGGACGGTTCGGGGACGCAGCAAAAGGGTGCGATCCCACCACAACATCTGGGAAGCGTTGTGCTTCCGTCCCTGAACCGGCCCTTCCGCGCAAAACACCGCATCAAAACAGAACCACCTACCTAGGTGGTTCATAGCGAAGGGGCGCTGCAAGCCGGGCTGTCGGATCGCCGGCACGCCCTTGCGCCGGCGCATCCCCGGCTCCTAGCCGAACTGCGCATGCTCCGACATGCACAGTTCGGCAGCCTCCCCGTCCGGACTGTGTTATCTCCCCGGCATCTGATCGTGCCAGGGAGAAAAGGCGCCGCGGCTCAGGGGATCCGTGGGATCCCGCCGCGGCGTCTCAACTGTGGTGTGGCTTTTAACAGCCGCACTTTTCACTCTGTTTTCCCTGCCGTGTGGCAGGGGCCACCGTCTACCTGACCCTTTTAAAGGTAAAGATGGTGGAATTTGAAGCTGGGACCTTCTGCATGCAAAGCAGATGCTCTGTCGCTGAACCGAGGTCATTCCCCTATTGGTAGTTGATGTGTCTGTAAATCTTTAAGTTGGGTTTTATGCCTTCTGCTTTCATTACTTGCGCTTTTAGTGACGGTGTTAACTTTGCTCCTTTTAAGATATACTTTGTGCTGCTGTTTCAGAGGGTAGGCTTGTCAGTCTGCTGTAGAAGAGCTAGATTCGAATCCTGTAGCACCTTAGAGACCAACAAGGTTTTTGGGGCAGTGTTCCCTCTAAGCTGACTTAGTGTGAGCTAGCTCACAGTTTTTTAGCCTCCAGCTCACCCGTTTTTGTCTTGGCTCAGGAAGGATGGCTCCAGAGCAAGCTAATTTATGCAGCAGCCAAATTGCTCGCTCACAACTTTAATGCCAGCAGCTCAGAAAGGAGAATTTTTGCTCACAAGACTCCACAGCTTAGAGGGAGCATTGTTTTGGGGTCTAAGCTTTCGAAAGTCAAAGCTCTGGCAAAGGCAGCGTTGACTCTCCAAAGCTTATACCATGGAATCTTGTTGGTCTCTAAAATGGCACTGGACTCAAATCTAGGTTTCATGAAGTGCCTCTTTGGCTGGAGTTTTTGGGATGGAAATGGTCAGAGGTCATTTCGGGGGGAATCGCGGGGGATTGCAGTTCCCCCGGGTGAGGTATGGGGGGCGGGGCACATGACGAAGCCCCGTCCCCTGCTTCCGGCCGCCCTGCTTCCGGCCCTCATTCAACCAGGAGGAGGCAGGAGAAGAGGGAGGGTAAGTTGCTTCCTCCCTGCCTCTCCCCACCCCTGCCTGCCTGGGGCCAGGGAGGGCCTTTGCGGGGCTTCCTTGCACTCCCGCTGGCCTTGCAGGTCCACCGCCGGGCCCCTCATGGGGCTCGGCAGTGGAGCTGCAAGGCCGGCGGCGGCCGGGACCGTTGGGGGCAGGGTGTGTGGCCTTATGACACACGTCCGGTGATGCCAGGGGGTGTGGCATATGCTAATGAGTTATGCTAATGAGTTCCCCTAGCTCTTTTTCTACGAAACGACCCCTGGAAATGGTTATAAATCAATAAAGGGCAGCTGAGTTTGAAGGGGCAGTAGCCGGAAGATGCTGCCCCATGGCCCCTCATGCTTGGAGGCTGTGAGCAGAAATCACAACCAGTGTTCCCTCTAAGCTGAGTTAGTGTGAGCTAGCTCACAGTCTTTTAGCCTTCGGCTCACGCATTTTTGTCTTCGCTCAGGAAGGCGGGCTCCAGAGCAAACTAATGTATGCAGAAGCCAAATCGCTCACTCACAACTTGAATGCCAGTCGCTCACAAAGCAGAATTTTTGCTCACAAGACTCCACAGCTTAGAGGGAGCATCGATCACAACCTCTCATTTGAACATCATGATGGGCCAACTCCGAGTCCTTTTATGAGATGCTAAAAAAGGTAGCAGTGTTCCCGTGCACCTTGGTGTTTAGTCATGCCGGCCACATGACCACAGAAATGTCTTCGGACAGCGCTGGCTCTTCGGCTTTGAAACGGAGATGAGCACCGCAACCCTAGAGTCGGATGCGACTGGCTTTCGAGCGAGGGAAACCTTTACCTTTTAAAATTTACCAGAAGACATTTTTGCTGTGCCTGTTCACGTGGCGAATAGTTGTTTGAATGCGGTGAAAGCTGACGTTTAACATTTAATTCATAATTGTAGATTCCGTTTCCTGCTCTGATCGGTCAGATACCAGCTCTCTCCACATGAGGGTGCATTCAAACCGAATATCTGTCATATGAAACTGAGCTAGTAAAATAATCTTATGGAGAGTTTTTACCTGTTGAAAGGTTATTTAAGAACTGGATTTGAGCTGCACTCTCAGGAAGTCTTAAGTAAGGATCAAACGACTTGCAGAAAACCACCACCCACTTTGGAAATGTGTTCTATTAATGGATTGATCTCACTGTCCACAATGAATGCTATTGTTGATTGCTTGCTGAAGGACACAGCCTACATTGCAGGATTGTTGTAAGGATAAATTGGGGAACAGAGAATTATGCATACTGCTCTGGGCGGCATAAAAATGTACTGTTTATTTGATAAAATCTGGCCCCGGTCACACTGGGAGAAATAGGTGCGGCCAAAGTGCGGCTTTTTTGAGCCGCATCAAAAGAGACGTGCGGCGGTGGGATCAGACAGATCCCCCCAGCCGCCATGCAGGTCCTCCCCGGCATGATCAGATGCCGGGAGGAAGCCATGGACCGGAGAGCGAGGCCAGCCCGCTGCGCATGTGTGTGCATGCACAGTTCGGCAGGACCTCGCATGCTGCGGGAGAGACAGGCGCGCCGTCGATCAGACGCCCATCCCTGCAGCGGATTTTCAGGTAGGTAGTAGTGTTTTCTATGGGTTTTTTTGATGCACAGTTTTGTCCGGAAGGGACGGATCAGGGACAGGTGCGCGCCGCTTCCCAGATGTTGCGGTGTGATCGCGCCCACTTGATGCACCCCCCGATCCATCCCTCTTGCGTGGCAAAACCTCCCATGTGACCGGGCTTCTATTTATCTTGTCGTTCTGCCATCACAAGAGGCACCAATGCAATTAAAACATACCTAATAAAACCATATTTTAAAGCCATTTAAACTTACAACTTCCCCACTCATACTAGATGAATGGAAAGATGCAATTCTCCAGACTGCCTTACCTCTCTTCCACTCTCTGTGTGCTTTCCACAGTTTCACCACGAAAAGCAGGACTGCAACAAACAGAATTGAAAGTAGCGTGGCCACAAGGATCGGTAATAACTTGCTGGGCTTCTTCACGATTCCTTCATGGGTAAGGTTCGTTCCTGTTTTTCAAAAGTACAGTGTGTTTTAATGCATTTGGAGTACCGTTTCCTAATAACAAGGTATTTATTGATTGCTGGAGAAATGTAGTATTTCATAGCAGCGGTGCTTCCTGGAGAGGATATGTTTGGTGTGGAGAGGCTGTGTTTGGATCCTGCGTGGCAAGCAAGTAAAAACTTAGAACAAAGTTTGCGTCCAGTGCCACCTCTAAGATCAACAAAGTTTAATTCTGGGTATAAGCTTCCGTGTGCACGCTTATATCCAGAATAAAACTTTGATGGTCTTAAAGGTGCCACTGAACTCAAACTTTGTTCTGTTGCTTCAGACCAACGCGGCTACCCATCTGAAAGTAAAAACCTGTGCGTTCACTGCTGTTTGGAGCACCCTTTGAAGCTGCCATTTTCTTCAGGGAACTCACTGCTGTTCTGTGGAGATCAGTTGCGATCCTGGGAGAGCTCCAGACCCCACCTGGAGTTTGGCAACCCCATTTGTTGTGGATATGGTCTGATGTTTGAATGTGCTCTTCAGGTATCCCTGGGCTGTCCTTTGGAATTCCCTTCCAAGGGAGCTGCTTCTGTCATTGCAGGATTTGGAAGACAACCAGAATTTCTTTCTTCTAGGTCAGGCAATTATGATACTGTGGCTGTAACGAATTTAGCTGGACGGGGACTGTCTTTTGTTGCTTGTGTTGGTGATTTTCAGTGATATTTTAATTGGCTTATGCACGGCAGTTGCTGTGATAGCTTTTTTATGATTCAAATTTTTTAATTATTTTTTGTCATACAAAATAAGGAAATATTGTCGGTGTGTAAGTTTCAGCACCTAGATCTCCCAGATCTATTTGACAGCTGACAGATGCTATTGACCAGATCCAGCCAGTTTAGACTTGTCTGGGCAAAGACACAGTCACAATGAGTCAGCACTGTCCTGATTGGCTGACATATGTATATATGTAGAAATGTACCAATGTACTGTTCCCCTTGTTGATAGATGGAGTCTGGCGAAGCACTTTGTCTGAGGATTGTATATACTGTAAGTGTGGTTTACTATTGGAAGCCTCTGGTAAAAGACAGTCTGCTGTGCGTGCAAAACTGCTTCAAGGTGCTGGTTCACACAAACACACGCACTGCGCGACAAATATAACAATACGTCTCATATTAAGAAATTACAATGCTATGATCATCTACATAATAGCTGTGGAATTAACATATTTCACAACAGAGTTATACCTTTTATCAATTTCCATACTGTGATAGCTTTTTGGCTGGAAACCGGGATGGGGGCAACTGTTCCTGCAGGAGAAGTATACGGGGGATAATTTTGGGCTGCAGGTAGAGCAAGGAGGTGGGGAAGTCGCACTCCACTAACAGTTCAATTCGTGGAGATTTTTCTTGGGATGCTGCCTGTAATGATTTCATGTTTTGGTGTGTGTGTTTCTTTAAATGTTTAGTTTGATTGCAGTAATATGAGAAGAGTGATAGAGGGAGACAAGTGTGATGCAGTGTTCCCTCTAAGCTGAGTTAGTGTGAGCTAGCTCACAGCTTTTTAGCCTCCGGCTCACACATTTTTGTCTTAGCTCAGGAAGGATGGCTCCGGAGCAAACTAATTTATGCAGTTGCCAAATCGCTCGCTGACAACTTGAATGCCAGTAGCTCACAAAGTAGAATTTTTGCTTACAAGACTCCATAGCTTAGAGGGAGCATTGGTGTGATGTGATTGGCTGATGACTGAGAGTGTGGGAGGAGGGGTGTCTATGAGAGTGATTCTGTGTGTGAAGTTTGAAGAGAGAGCATAGTCTTTGAGTCTATTCTGTGTGAATAAGACAAACAGTTTTGTCTGTGTGAATATGAGTTTTGAGTCTATTCTGTGTGAATAAGACAAAGAGTTTAGCCTGTGTGGCTATATAAATGAGAGAGAGAGAGATTAGGCTGAGTGTCTACGCCTGTCAGAGTGGAGTTTGGGAGTATGAGAGACTGTGTGACACCAAGCTTTGCCAGTTATATTTACAAGTTCCTTTCATCAGCAATAGTTCAAAATAACCAGAAACCTATTTTGTTCTTTATTAAATAAATCATTTTTTGTTTAAACTTATCCCAGAAATCAGAATAGTCCTTCCTCAGGGCCACATAGTCCTCTGAAATGCCCAGACCCTAGGTCATTCTACCAAAAGAGAGAGATTTGGAATTTTTAATTCCTGGTGGCAGCAGAAATCTACCAAGTTTAGGTACACAGAGAGTGTTTTCAAGGTAAAACTGTCTCCCCAATAAGCAAGGACGCCACACTGCCCCTTGTATTCTCTTGGGAGACCCTCCAAATCTTTGACAAAGGTCATCTCTATAGGGAACCTATGGCAGGGCTGTGCTGGAATACACGTTTTTACGTCCAGAAACAGTTGTTCAGTTCTAACTTACCACTGGTCATGTTGGAATTCAGAATAGCAGTAGCTTCAGGACTTGAGGATGGTGTTTGTGTACTCGAGTTTCTTTCTGTTTCATTTAATATTTTGTCAGGTTCTGTTGAAAAATGAAAGAGGGAAAGCTTGTATCTTGCAATTCCCAGGGGAAATGAATCACAGAGTGGCTTGAAGGAAGCTGTGCATGTTGGACTATAAACGGGAATTAATTTCATTTTTTTGTATGGAAATTATGGTTTAAATTGCTTTAGCGTACTGTTGGTGGCAGTAAAGTTCAGAGCTCCTGCTTTGCCGCTGGTGGGTGTTGCTTCTGTTTTGGAGCTTCCTTGCGTTATGTTGAATACATTGCCTGCTCCTGTTGAAATGGAAAAAGAGAAGGGTTATTCCCAAGAGGGAGGGATGTTGATATGGCTGCGTAATCATTCATTTATTCTTTTTATACACCCTCCCCTTCTATCCCTTAGGCCCAGGGAAGCAGACAGCTATTTCATCAATATTTCAATACAACCCGTTCAGCAATCAGTACAATCCATTCATCAGTTTCATCAAAACTGATCTCTGTCCCCAAGAGCTTGCATGCTACTAATTTCTATTTTCCTTTTATTCTTTGCGGTTTGCCTGTCGATGTGGCTATATTTTGCTGATTCCTTTTAGTGTGCAATTTACTTGTATTGTTCTTTTATAATTTAAAATTATGTCGTTAGCTGCCCTAAATTACATTTTTATACGAAAAGTGCAGGATATACATGCTTTAAAGAAAAAAGGTTAAGTTTAGAATGAGGCAAAAGCTGACTCCAAGATGAGAACTTTGTATACTGGCTTCAGGCGGCAAACACTAACAACAATTACTAGCACTTTACTATGATTTTATAATTTGTTTTCATTGCAATTATGTTTTTAATGTGACTATCTGCTTTTATGTAAGCCGCCCAGAGCCGGCTTCGGCCAGGAAGGCGGGGTAAAAAATCTGAAAAATAAATAAATAAATAAATGATACACTATTGGCACCGCCTAACACTTCCAAAAAAGCTCTTTCTTTTCCTTCTGTTCTGTTCCCTTTAATAATTACCAGACCACAGAGACATGGCTAAATAATAAATAATACTACAATAATTAACCCTTCAGACTCTGTTCCCTCCTATACTCATTTTAAAGGACTGTGGCTGCGGTCACACGGAGCATTAGCCACGCTACTGAGACGGATGATAGGCGGATTTTCCGGGCGCGATCATACCGCAACATCTGGGAAGTGTAGAGCTCCCATGGCAAACCCGAGGCTTCCTGCCGAAGATGCGGAGTTAAAAACTAGTACCTTGGAGGTACTAGTTTCCGGAAACCACGGGGCAAGGGCGGGCGTCTGATCGCATTTCCAGTGGCATCCAGCGCCCGCCCATGTCCCCTCGCAAAAAGGTTGTTTTTTTTCCCAAGTCTTCACGGAATGCGCACACGCACCCAACGGCCCATGCGCACACTTCAGTTTAAAAACAAAAACACAACCCCGTTTGCCGCGCCGCTTTGTCACTGCGCCGCAGGATTGCTGTGTGATCAGCACCTCCCCCCTAACCACGGGACCTCGACGGGACCTCGAGGGGACATCTGATCTCGCAGCCACGGGTTATTTTGCTCCGGGGCAAACAGCCACGCTTCCCCCCTGCATTTTCCGGCCCGTGTGACCGGAGCCTGTGTTAAGTAGCCTGCAATGAAAGGAAGGATCCCAGTCCTAGCTGATGGTGTTGGCCAACACCTGAATGGCCAGGGTCCGGCCTACCTAAGGGACCGCCTCTCCCCGTACATTCCCCCAAGAGCACTGAGATCGGGGAACTTCCATCGCCTGGAGGTTCCAGGCCCCCGGGAAGTGAAATTGACCCAGACCAGAACTAGGGCATTTTCGGTGGCGGCTCCCATCTGGTGGAACGAGCTCCCGGAAGAGACTCGGGCCCTGCGGGACCTAGGGCAGTTCCGCAGGGCCTGTAAGACAGAGCTCTTCCGCCAGGCCTTTGAGGGGGAGCCGCCGCCATCACTGTTCCATCAATGATATCCTAACTACCTACCCCATGTTGGGGTAGTTGCCGCCCAATAGATCTGGAAAACACTCTTCCTGGAGCTCCTGCTACGAAGAACTTGGCCGCCAGTGTGGGACGTCGTCCATCTTGGATTTTATGTAAATAATTTTAGCACCAAATTTTATATCAGATATATTGTTTATTATGCTGCTGTTGTATTTATATTTTAACCTTTGTAAGCCACCCCGAGCTGAATTACTAGATGGGGCAGGATATAAATCTCAATAATAAATAAATAAATAATAATAAACAGACATGGTGTTGGCGAAGATTCACCTGTATGATGGTTTAAATTTTTCTTAAAAAATACATAGCCTCATGCAATGCTCCCTCTAAGCTGCGGAGTCTTGTGAGCAGAAATTCTACTTTGTGAGCTACTGGCATTACAGTTGTGAGAAAGCAATTTGGTTACTGCATAAATTAGTTTTCTTTGGAGCCATCTTTCCTGAGCTAAGACAAAAATGTTTGAGGTGGAGGCTAAAAACCTGTGAGTTAGCTCACACTAACTCATCTTAGAGGGAACACTGGTCTCATGTTAAAGTTACTTTATAAACTGTATTCGTCGTATCATAGTCACCCTAAACATTGATCCCATTGGGTTTTCATTTTACATTTGGAAATTATTGGTACTTTAACATACCAGTGGTGGAATTAGGATTCTGAGTCGCGGTTTCATCACTTGCAGATGTTGTGTGAGCCCCAAAGTTTCCTTCTGTTATATTAAAAATGTTGCTCGATTCCGCTGCAATAAAAAGGGTTTATTCCTTTCATGTTCCATTAGGAATGTATGTTGCAGTACTGATACTGTGCAGCGAATAGCCTGAAGGAATTTGTGCGGGTCAATATAACTGCAGGAATTAATTCCATTTTACGTTTGGAAATTATTGTTAATTACATGACGTACCGTTGGTGGTGGCAGAGTTTGGAGTGTCCGCTTCGCTGCTCGGGGACGGCCTTTGCATCCCGAAGTTTCCTTCTGTTACATTTAATACGTTGTCTGATAATGTCGGAATGAAAAGGGAAATGTTATTCCTTTCATGTCCCTTCAGAAATGTATATTATAGAACTGATATTACAGTGAATGGCTTGAAAGAAGCTGTATTTATCAAAGTAGCAGCAAAAATTAATTTCAGCGGAACTAGGCTGATTAATATTGGCTGAGAGCACTAGAAAGTGTTCCTTTATTTCATTTGAGAGTAGAAATTGCTGCATGTTCAGAAATATCACCCACCCAACCCGTTCCTGGAATACATGCAGGGGTCCACAAATTGCAGCTGGGCTTGGCGTGTGTGCATGATTGTGTGTGTGTAAAGTGCCATCAAGTCACAGATGACTTATGGCAACTGTATAGGGTTTTCAAGGCAAGAGACTTTCAGAGGTGGTTTGCCATTGCCTTCCTCTGCCCTGCAACCCTCAACATTCTTGGTGGTCTCCCATCCGGCTCCTAACCAGGGGCGACATCAAGCCCAATCACCCAACTGGCAGCCAGTGCAGTTGGCGTAGCACTGTCTGAACACCCGCCCGCACAGACGTCGCTGTCAGCAAGTGTGCTGTTGCATTCTGCACTAGCTGCAGGTTCCAGATCAGGTTCAAGGGCAGCCCCGCATAGAGCAAGTTACAGTAGTCCAGCCTGGAAGTGACCATTGCATGGATCACTGTAACTAAGTCCTAGGAGGTAAGATAGGGAACTTGTAGCCTCACCAGCCGGAGGTGACAAAAGGCTGACCTGGCAACAGTGGTGACCTGGGCCTCCATTGAAAGCGAGGCATCCAGGATCACCCTGAGGCTCCTCACTCTCGGCGCTGGCGTCACAGATGCTCCACCAAGTGTTCGGAGCCAGATTCCTGATCCCAAACCCCCACAGCTCAGGTACAGGACCTCCTTCGTTGGGTTTAATTTCAACTGGCTCTGCTATAGTCATCCAACCACGGCCCCCGATGCCCTGTCCAAAACATCTGGGGTGGAGTCCAGCTGGCCATCCATTGACAGATAAAGCTGGGGGTCATCAGCATACTGATGCCACCCCAGTCTAATCCCCCAAACCAACTGGGCGAGGAGGCGCATGTAGATGTTAAACAGCGTCAGAGAGAGGATGGCCGCCTGCAGCATACCACATTTCAGTGGGTACTGCTGAGATATCCTCTCCCCAAGTGCCACCCTCTGTCCAGGTGTCTCCAGAGGTCAAAGGGCTGTCAACTGCAGCCACATAAAGGGTTATTATGACCTTGAAGAATGGTTTGTGCAGATAAGTTTTAAAATTTCATTTCAGCTCTAACCCACTAGATAGGTGTATACATGGTTTATTTAAAAAAATACCCAATATTAGGATAAATTTTGCATACTCTTAATTGAAGATAGATTCAGGTGGGTAGCCTTGTTGGTCTGAAGCCAGTGGCACCTTGAAGACCAACATAGTTTAATTCTAGGTATACACTTTTGTGTGCGTGCACACGAAAGCTTATACCTAGAATTAAACTTTGTTGGTCTTACTTGAAAGGTCATTGATTGATCAGAGTGAACTAGAGAATTTCCTTTGTTGAAGATTGTTGGGGGCACTTCACTTTCTGTATTTTACCTGTGTGATGCCAAGGATTCTTCAAGCTTGTCGTACCAAATTCAGATGTAGTTGGAATGATGTCTGTAGTAGACTCTGGAAAATTTAAAACACACACACACAAAAAAAAATTTAACCAAACTCTGTAGTTCTTCCCCATAAGACCACATTCCATTTAGCCATCCACTTAGTCTCCAGTGACACATGTCATGCCTGCCCCAGACGTGGCCTCAGAAGCAGGGCTTGACAGCCAGGGACAGGAGGACTTGGCTCCTTTAACAGAAGAAACTGTAAGTCCTGAGGAGGATACCACTCAGCAAGAGCCACCTGAGGTCGATCAGGTACCGCCGAGCACAAGTGCATCACCACCAGACTCTCCTCCACCTGTCAACAGGCTCCGAGACCGAAGGCGTCAGGAGCTGAATGAGAGGCGAAAGGCTGCACGCATGCGTGGTCGAAGCTCGCTTAGCCCTGAGTTTTGACAGCAGCCTGGACATTGTTTCAGGGAGCTAATGAGATAATGAGCCAGCACGCTATTTCAGCAGACCTGTTGCCTTGAGCACACCGTGCTGGCACCGTTGATGTCAGGACCAGATACTCTGTGTGACCTTGCTTCAGATCTTGCGGATTCTTCGGTTTTGACTCGGTTGGTGTTTTGGACTTTCGGCATCTGTTTATCTTCTCCTGATTTACGGCGACCTGACCCTTGGCATTTCTCTGACTACGGCTTCAGCTCTGCACTTACCGGGCTAAGCATGATTTATGGACTACAACTCTTGGTATGTTTTGACTGTGGCTGTGTTAAACTGTTTGGGACTTGTTTGAAAGGCTTTTCTGACTGAACTCTTGGCTGACCCCTGGACTGGCTCTCAGACCTGCTTTGCTAACTGTTGCTCACTGGACCTGACCGTGACAACACAAGTCACAGAACAAGGCCTCACCTGCCAGTCAATAAATGACTAGGCTTAGTACAAGAGTTGGAAGAAATGGCGTGGAGACCATCATGAATCACCTTGATTTCTGCACCATGTGTTTTCTGCTTGGTTGACATCCATTCTGCCATCCACCCGCTTTAGGACATGTTTAATGAGAAGACAGGCTCTCCTGGTCCTCTCTTTTCTATAATCAATGTTTACGCTGTAAAATGTCGCACAGATACAACCACTGCACTTACGGATATGGCTAAGATGGACAGCTGCGGTTAAATTTCCACTTCCCAGAGCTTTGTGGCGAACAACACAAGTCATAGTAGACTTCTGGCTGAAAGTATGGACTGTCAGGGTGCTGGTTGTGTTGCACTTCTTGCCGTTGTCTTCACACTGATGTTGGGTGTCACCTAAAACATATTTGGGAAGGCAGCGGGGGGGGGGGGACAGTCTCTTGTGAAGTACTTTCACACACATGCTGAATAATGCGCTTTGAATCCACGTTCAATCCACGTTCAATGCTCTTTAGCAATTGTTTGCAAGTAAAATCCAGTTGCAAAGTGCATTGAAGGTGGATTGAAAAGTGCATTGTCTTTAAGACTTTGCCGCTTTATCAACAAATGAAGGCCTGTAACCAAAGGTCTATGACCCTGCTCTTGTTTTATTCCTCCGCCGCTTTCACACTCATGCCCACTTCAGCCATTCTCCCAGAACACTTCCACATTTAAGTTTGTTATTTTAGGCCCTGCTTCTTGGATTCCTCCTGTCCTAGGATTTTTGCCAGCATTATGCTGTCTAGTCATGCCTAGAAACTGCTGTGATTGGTGAGCCCCTCTGTGACAAAGAGGCAGGCAAACCAATCACAGCCGGAGGTCTTTCTGACTGGATAGCTTCTCTGTGCAGACAGGTGAACCAGTTGCTGCTGCAGACTTCCTTACTGCCATCACTACCACCACAAAAATCCCATAGAGATCTATGTTTGGATGATCAGGTTGATTGCTATCTTTAAGGTGGAGAAAGAGGGAGGAGGAGGAAATTGGATTTATACCCCACCCTTCACTCGGAGTCTCAGAGTGTCTTACAAACTCCTTCCACTCCCCACAACAGACACCCTGTGAGGTAGGTGGGGCTGAGAGAGCTTTTTCCAGAACTGCTCTTTCAAGAACAGCTGTGCCAGAACTGTGGCTTGCCCAATGTCATCCAGCAGCTGCAAGTGGAGGAGTGGGGAATCAAACCCGGTTCTCCCAGATTAGAGTCCGCGCACTTAACCACTACACCAAACTGGTTAGGGTTGTCAGGTCCTGCCTGGCCACTGGTAGGGGAGGGGGGAGGGGAAGGGTTGCCAGATCCAGGTTGTGAAACTTGTGTAGATTTGGGAATGGAGGACAGGGAGGGCAAGGCCCTCAGTGGGATATAATGCCACAGAATCCGCCCTCCCAAGCATCCATTTTTCTCCAGGGGAACTGACCTCGCACCTGGAGGCTGGCATCCCTAGGCAGCAGTGCAGATGTCAGAGAAGTTATTAACAAGCAATGTTTACTCCATCCAGAGAGGGAGCGAATTAAAGCATACCAAAGAGTTCCATCCCATTGTCCAGCAGCCATGTTATCTGAGGAGGTGGCTTGCTCCCCCAAGTGGAGCACCTTAAGACAATCTTTTCTTCTCCACTGTGGACTCTGGTTGTCAGTTCTTCCAGCAGAGGTTTGGAGGGAGCAGCTGTAATGAAAAGACAGATGAATGGATTAAGAAACCGAATTCTTCCCGCTTCAGTTTCAGCACAGCGAGTGGTGAAGAGCTGGTCATGGATTGTTATATGCCCACATACAATAGATCTGATTCTCTCCCAGGGGAAAGATGCAGCTCATTCACGTTCATGATCCTTCCAACACAAAAAGAGTTGACTGCAATGGGTTTAGTATATTTTATTCACGTCCCTGGGATACCAGATCACCGCAGGCTGTGACAGCAGCCATGAAATTAAAAGACGCCTGCTCCTTGGGAGGAAAGCGATGGCGAACCTCAACGGCATGATAAAAAGTAGAGACATCACCCTGCCAACAAAAGTCCGCATGGTCAAAGCAATGGTATTCCCAGTAGTCATGTATGGCTGCGAGAGTTGGACTATAAGGAAGGCCGAGCGCCGAAGAATACATTCTTTGGAACTATGGTGCTGGAGAAGACTCTTGAGAGTCCCTTGGACTGCAAGAAGATCAAATCAGTCAATCCTAAAAGAAATCAACCCTGACTGTTCCCTGGAAGGCTAGATCCTGAAGTTTAAGCTCAAATACTTTGGCCACCAAATGAGAAGGGAGCACTCAGAGGAGAAGACCCTGATGCTGGGAAAGATTGAAGGTCAAAGAAGAAGGGGATGGCAAAGGATGAGATGGTTAGACAGTGCTATCGAGGCAATGAACATGAAATTGAGCAAGCTTCAGAGGACAGCGGAAGACAGGAGGGCCTGGCGGGAGCTGGTCCATGGGGTTGCGAAGAGTCGGACTCGACTGTGCAACTGAACAACAACAAAGACCAGCACGTATAGTACAAAAATGGTAGATAAATATATATAAATAGATAAAACAATATGTTACACTAAGAAATTTTCACAATCATAGAATAAATTTCAGTGTTGAAAATACGGAGTCATGGTTCTCATAAATAACAGAATTGGGTTGGTCCTTCTGTATATTAGTTAGATATTTCCTCCAGTTCAATGCCAACCAACCATATTTAGCAACTTCGTGTGTTATGTCCTGGCTCGTATCAGACAACATTTTAGAGGGAAGTAGAGCTCCATGTCTCCCTGAATAAGCTGAAAGTCTGGGCAATATATAAACTTAAATCAAATAGCAACTACAGCTGTGTAACAAACAACGCTACAGAAATATGTAATTATATAATTGGGATGTAAAGGACAACTTAATTTGCTTTGACAATTATTGAAAAGTTAATGTTATTAGATGAAAGTTAATTAAGAGAAAGAAGTGTTACCGATAGATTAAGATTAGAAGATAAGGAAAATAGAAAAGGACTAAGAAATGGGCTGGAGGTTGGAGCACTGTGGGAAGCCAGGGGGGGAGGGGAAAGAGAAGAAAGGATGTATAACAAAATAATATGTTGTATGTTTGAACTAATAATATATCCTAATAAATTGTTTTTTTGGGGAAAAAAGAAATATGTAATTATATTGTTAATGATAGATAAAGCAGTAAAGTCCATACAAGTGAAGGTTTAACATACAAGTGAAGATTTGACAGAAAAAATCTTCAAATTACATTGCATATAGCATATAGGAATGTAAGTTTAACAAAGAAGTCTTCAAATTACATGTAGCATATGAAAAGATCAAACAATATAAGTTCAGCAGAGATGTCTTCATGTAGCATATAAACGAAGAATCCAGATGTTATAAACTTCGTTTCGTTGAACTTCCTCAGTAATGACAATGACTAATCTAAACTATACACAAAATTGATTGCATCAACTTCTGAAGTAATGGGTAAAGATAGAGTTTCTAAAAGGTCCTTGTATTAATGGGCAACCAGTCCTATTCCTTTAGTGGAGCTTGCTTCCGTGGCTTTTTAGTCTGCTGGTTCTGCCCCTAAACAAGAAGGTTGGAAGGACCACTATATACAAAAAGGGGAAGAAACTATCCCTAATTAAGCTCACTTAGGCTGTGGCCACACGTTGACCTCTTACTGCGACTTGCTCCTGCTGTCGGTTTATCCACGACTTTTTTACCGGATAAAAACTGGTTACACGTCCCTCTTTAATTGCGTGATGAGTCAGACAGCCACGCCGCCCAATTGGTGGTGCGGGAATTTTTTTTAAAAAAATCATTTGCACATTATGATGTGCATAACTGCGCATGTGCTTAATGGCGGTCGCCGGGGAAAAAGAAGAAGACCAAATCGCACTCATTGTGAGAAGGGGAGTCCAGATAGGGGAAAGTGCAGAATTGGAGCAGAAACACCCGGAAAGTACTCATTTTTCCGGGTGTAGGAAAACGCAGGAGAGAACCGGGAGCATTGCGTGAGTGAACCCGCTTCGGGGTGGGAGGTGGATTGGTCTGTCTGATCAACAATTTTATATGCGAGAGGGAACAGCAGTGAATCCCGACCAAAACAACCTTGTGACGGCAGCCTTAGTTTTCAATATGCTGTGCCATTGGGCCACCACTGGGTACCCACTGGTATCAGCTATATGGGCAAACAGAACTCGATCAGCCTGTCCCTCTTTGCTCGCTCTCATATATTCAAAGCCAGGAGTTTAGGAACTCACCTAAAACGGTGACATTCACTTGCTTGGTTGTGACTGTTGCACCGTAATGGTAACATGTGTATGGTCCTTCATCATCTGTTGTGACGTTGGAGATGCGAACTGACAACTGGTCCTTTGACGAATTAATAAGCTTATATCTCTTATCCTTTAAACCTGGGGAAAGAGCATTGTAAAAATGGAAAAGACATTAACAGGTCATTCTTCAGAGCTTTACACCAGGGTGTGCCACATCACTCGGGGGTGAGACCAGGAATGGGTTTCATTGCAGGGGTGGGGAGAGCAACCGTGGCTGTCAAAAGTTCAACGGCTGGGCGCAGGGGACACAATGGGGACCCAGGAAGCAAGGAAGGCATGGTCCCAGGCCCAAAGGAGATCCGCTTAGCCTCGACCAGAGTCAGAGCCTTTTCTCTAATTTGGGAGAATGTTTAAGGTTGCCAGCCTCCAGGTGGGGCCTGGGAATCTCCCGCTTTTACAACTGATTTCCAGATGACAGAGATCAGCTCTCCTGGAGAAAATGGCTGTACATCTGACGGTGCCCATGAACTGAGAATGGTGCTGCCATCTTGGATCTTACACAGCCAGGGAAATGCTGAGGTCCCTCCCCTACCCAAAATCTGCCCTCCCCAGGCTCCACCCCCAAAATCTCGAGGTATTTTCCAACCCAGAGCTGGCAACCCTAGGTGGAGGTGACCCTTTGTTGGTACAACTCTTTCTTCCTAGCACCAGAACAGCATTGCAGGCTCAAAAGCTGTCACAGTTTATGGCCAGGGGTGTTGTACTCATTTGTTATGAGGGCCAGATCTGACATAAATGAGACCTTGTCGGGCCGGGCCACGTGTGTCATAAAATGTAATGCCAGGTAGTGAAGATATAAACTTTATTAAGGACACAAACACTTAAAATAAAAACATGCTTAAAACATTAGCACTTGCAATATTTTGTTTCTTTAACAGTGTCTGATAACTGACACCTCTTGCTCTGAATTATTGCATCAAAATGTCTGTGCTGTTGCAATCTTGAGTATGCTGTCAGGTGTGTATCTGTAAGCTGCAAACCTACGATGACGCAGCAGTAGCAGAACTGGAAGAAGCAGAAGACAACCAGTTCCACTGCGGGCCTGACAGAAGCCCTCCGGGGGCCTCATCTGGCCCCTGGGCCGCATGTTTGACACTCCTAGTTTATGTGATAAAGCAAGTGTAATGCATCTAATAAACTATGCCGTTGGGGGTATAGGAAAAAAGAGCACTACCTAATGTTTTCACTGGCAATTAAAATTCCAGTGCCTCTACAGAAAGCGACCTGCTCAAGAAGATACACACAAAATCGCATGTGAACTAAAATGGACCTCCAGTTTTAATCCAGAAAGAAACTGGGTATAAAAGATCTGGGAAGCACTGTTCTAGAATAAAAATGGCATACAATGACGTTACAAAGTTTGAGTCCAGTGGCACCTTTAACACCAACAAATTTTAATTCTGGGTATAACCTTATACCCAGGCCAGAATTAAAATTAGTTGGTCTTAAAAGTGCCACTGGACTCAAACTTGGTTCTATTGCTTCAGACCAGCACAGCTACCCACCTGAATCATACAATGATGTGTTATCTGAAAGGCTTAAAAATGTATTACAGTGTAATCTGGCATAAACCAGAGCCTGGACTGGCCTCTGCAGAGTGCTTTACACTTCACTGCTCAAGATCTATGCATCTTTGCTCTTGTAGTCAGTGGCGAACCTACATTTTTGGGACCCTGAAGCTTGAACTGTTATGGAGGCCCCTTCACAACCAGCAACAATAGGGCAACATCCAGCAAGGTCCAAAGGGTCTGAATTGACCATCCCGATGTCTTTGGTTCTGATTGGCTAAGGGCTGAGCTGTAGAAATATTAAGCCGTGCGCCAATGAAGGATTCGAGGATCCAGCTGCCAAAATCTAGGCTATGAATAGATTCTGGCAGCTCAGCGAGCCCATACAGCTGGGGATTTGGTTGCTGCAAGCCCCGGAGAAAATTTTGAAATCTGACCAATTACAGGGACATTTTGAGGCCATGTGAAACGGGTGTTCAATCATATTCTAAGGTCAATATTAAGTGCTTCAACCCATTGGCTTATGATTCTGCCACTAAAATAGCCTTATTTTAATCACAAACACTTTAAAAAAAAACCTCCATCAATTTTGTTGAAAAATCCACTCATTAAAAAAAAAAATTGCTTCAGGGTCCCTCCAAGATTAGGGCCCCTGAAGCTTAAGCTTCAGTAGTTTCACAGTAGATCCGCCCCTGCTTGTAGTGGTCTTTTGCGTATTGGAAGCAGTGATGAACACCCTGGAAGGAATTTCTGCTTTCACACTTTGCAACCACAACGGGGCTTCTATCGGGTTGACTTCCTGCCCTGAAGTAGTTGACGGACTATGCTGGAACCAAATGGCAGTGGCATGGATTGAGTCATCTCAATGACTGTACGGCAAGAAAGCCCACCTCTTGTCCTCAGTGCAATGGGAAAATGAGGGCACCTGCTCCCACTGACGCTTACCTAGTTGGCGGTCGAGAAAAATCACGAACCAGCGAGGGTTGGACCACTGCAGAGCAGATGTGTTGTCTCCAGCCACCACACAATGCAAGTCCAGATCCTGACCTTCTACCACCGTTAGGCTTTCGATGGGAGTTTCTAGAAAAGCCTCTGTCAAAGAAAGTGGATTTGTGAAATGTCTCTCTGGGACAGGCTGACAGAGTTCCAGAGAGACACATGGACATATGAAGCTGCCTAATACTGAATCTAAGGATCCCAAGTCCCCCCAGGGGGCGGGGGAACCCCCGCCCCAGAGGCCCGTTCCCCGGCGCCACCCAATCGGGCCCCAGGGGGAACTTCGCCCTGACGTGCACGTCACCCGGAAGTGACGGGAGGACACCAGGCACGCTATGGTTTTCCCTTGTAAGAGAAACTCTATGGTTTTCCCTTGTATGGCTGTGGCCCCGCCCCCAGCGTGCCTGGCGTCCTCCCGTCACTTCCAGGTGATGTGCATGCGGTGCGCGCGCGCTTCGCGTGCACGCACGCACACCAGACACCGTCCGGGAGCCCCCCGCTCCCAGCGAAGATCGACTTGGCAACCCTAACTGAATCAGACCATCATTCAGCATCTAGCATTCGCTCCGCTGAAACGGAAGAAGATGTGGCTCAAAACCACATTCAAATACCCCGGGGCCAATGCTGTACTGACTGCAGAGTCCCCCTGAATGGCCATAAAATAGCCATAAGTCTATGCAGACAGCAGTGTCCCCTCTAAGATGAGTTAGTGTGTGAGCTAGTTCACAGTTTTTTAGCCTCCGGCTCACACGTTTTTGACTTAGCTCAGGAAGGATGGCTCCAGAGCAAACTAATTTCTGCAGTAGCCAAATTGCCTGCTCACAATTTTAATTCCAGTAGCTCACAAAGTAGAATTTTTGCTCACAAGACTCCACAGCTTAGTGGGAGCGTTGGCAGACAGTACCATAAAACTGAGAGATCAAAGGAAGTGAAACCGGCATGCAGTGTGGAGGCTTCCATAAAATCCGACAATCAAAGAAAGTGAAAGTGGCATGCAATGTAGAGGGGAATTTCTGTTCCAACGTGGGTTTGGTAGAACAGCAGAGTGAATGCTAGATGAAGAATGGGCCATGGTCAGTATCGTCTACTCAGACTGGCAGTGGCTCTCCGGGATCTCAGGCAAAGGTCTATCGCATCACCTGCTTACCTGATCATTTTTTAAACTAGAAATGCCAGAGATTGAAACTGGGACCTTTTGCATACCAAACAGATGCTGTACCACTAAGCCACAGCCCCTCTCCGAAGAGACTCTTGTGGGTAAAGCATAACAGCCACCCAGAGTTTCATGAAACACATCAGCCACCTACTGTGTATCAGTATATCTAAGTCAACTTTGGCCCTGTCTGGGATACTTAAATGTGCAGATTGGGGCCACATTGACAGAAGGGGGATATTTGTCTGAACTTGGGGGACCCCCCTGACAGTTTGCAGAAAAATCTGAAACCTTAATTTAAAGAACAAATTTTGAGTCCAGTAGAATCTTTAAGACCAACAAAGGTTTATTCAAAGCATGAGCTTTTGTGTGCATGCACACTTCTTCAGATACATTGAAATGGAAGCTAGCAGTTCATACCTTGAATAAACCAATAAAGGTCTTAAAGATGCTCCTGGCCTCAAAATTTGTTCTGCTACTTCAGACCAACACGGCTGCCCACCTGGATCTATCTTAAACTGGAGAGCCAGTTTGGTGCAGTGGTTAGGTGCGTGGAATCTAACCTGGGAGAACTGGGTTTGATTCCTCACTCCTCCACATGCAGCTGCTGGCATGACCTTGGGTCAGTCACAAGTTCTCTCAGAGCTGTTCTCTCAAGGGCAGTTCTCAAAAGAGCTCTCTCAGCCCCCACCTACCTCACAGCGTGTCTGTTGTGGGGAGGGGAAGGGAAAGGGGATTGTAAGCCGCTCTGAGACACCTTCAGGTAATGAAGGGCGGGGTATAAATCCAGTCTCTTCCTCCTCCTCCCAAAACACCTCACTGCAGCCGTGGGGGAGGGGGAGAGGACTGGGAACCACCTCCTCCCTGCCCTCAGGTAAGCAGCAGCGCTGGAGGCAGACAGGTGGGCGAGAAGGAGCCTCCTCCTCCACCTGCCCGCCTCCAGCATTGTCATCTCAGCTGCCCTCTCCAATGCACCTCTTGCCTGCTGAGTGCCAAGACTGAGGCGATGGCACTGGAGTTATGTTGACGGGGCTTCTACTCACCCACCTGTCCTTCTCCAGTGCCCATCACCTTAGCGGCCCTCCCCAAACTCCTCCTTCAGCTGAGTGCAGAGACCCAGGTGATAGTGCTGGAGGCGGCCGAAAAGAAAACACAACACAATCTGCTACATCTGGATGCAAGTCCCTGTTCCTAGTTCAAAAATTCCATTTAGCCGAGGGCCAAACTCTGTGGTTGCATCTCTGGTTTCTTTTTCTTTTTTAATTTATATTTTTTTAATTTAAGAATTTAATAACACTACAAGGTAAGTACAATAGCTGTCTGCAGATGAAGTACAAAAACAGGTTAGAAAAAACATTAATGCTTAACTATGTCCGGGCTGAAGATGCCAGAGAACTGTATTACACACTACAAAATATTTCTTAAGACAACAATCGTGTAATAAATATATATCTTTGCAGGCAAATTTTAAATCAGTGTTCTGAAAGTTACTTCAGATATTATCTTAGATGTAAGCTGAATAATGTTTCAGGTTCGGGTTTCAAAAGTATATCATTGATTTGTATAAAGGATTTGCGGGAATTACATCAGATTCAGCCATATAGTTAATGAGTGAATACCAGGATGCTATAAATTTTTCTTCAGATTTGCTGGAGGAAAGATTGAGTGTGCTAAGTGATATTTTGGGCATAATGAAGTGGTCCCAAATACAATTTTGCCAGGATTGCCGTCCCATGTGGGAGATATTATGTGTCAGAATGGTATTGTGCCCTTTAGTTGGGGTTGTTTGGACTTTAAACATTTGGAAGCATCAGTGCAGAGACGGGCATATTGGATGTTCCCAGTCTAAATCTTTTCCTCTGGCTACTACTTGGCTTGATAAGGAAGATACACAACCAAAAGACATTCAAAACTTTAGGATCTGCTTGTGCTGCCCGATGAGGAAACCATAAAGACCCGAGACTTGCCATATCGGTAGTGATGCATGCGGCACTAACTTAACCCAGTGATTTGTTTTATTTGGGTCAGCCGAGATCCAGAAGAAAGAGCCATCCTCCATGTAATGTATTCAGCCTGACATGCCCGGACTTGCCCGGGCTGGCCAGGCACAATTCATCTGTAGCTTCAGTCGAAAGACAATGGATCCGAAGGATCCTAGCCGGCCCAATCAGCCGGGAGACCAATGGTTGCCCGGTTACTGTAAATAGCCTATGGGGAGTAGGGGGTGTGTTTAGGTGTACTTGGTGGCGGGTTTTCTGAATGCATATAAACCAGCCTGCGAGCTGGTCAGTGTCTTTGTCCTGAACTAAATAAAGGTATGCTTAGCTGAATCACTCTCCGTCTGCATACTTTTCACTCCAGAAACTTACAGCTTACATTGCAAGCTGAGCTGCGGTCATAGCTGTGGCCTGTTCAGTCAGACATCATGCCAAACTGTGCTTTGGAAATCTATTTCAGAGCTTGGCTTTATCTTTCTGGTTTGTGTAAACCAGGGTTTCCCCAGTATAGACATCGTTCCAAACCATAGCTAAGCTTCCTCATCGTGGCCAAACCAAGCCTGTCGCCTAGTGTAACCTGCTGTTGTAAAAAAAAATAAAAATGGGATAGGCCAGTGATGGCGAACCTTTTAGATTTGAACTCGTGACCCCTGGTTTACAAGACCAGTGCAGAAGAAAGTATCAGCACCAAGAAGCAACGCATTCTTGGTGCTGATACTTCTGCCGAGCTGGAAGAAACGGGGACGGTATCTCCCATGTGTATGGCCTGCGGAATGTTCAGGCGGAAGAAATGGTTGAGTTTTCTTCTGGGCTGAAGGGTATGTCCCTGAACTTGGAACCCGACACCGAGTGCCCAAACTGCGACCCAAAACCCACTTATTTATCGCAAAGTGCCAACACAACAATTTAACCTGAATACTGAGGTTTTACTTTAGAAAAAACAACTCATACATTAACTTAAAATAATCCAAACAAAGTAAGGAAAGCAATCCCAAATGCTTTCGTTTACTTAAAATTATTTGGCAGAGAATTTGACACTTTAATGATGGTCTGGACCTGGTTGGGGAGATGGCACGCGTGCCCACAGAGAGGGCTCTGAGTGCCACCTCTGGCACCCGTGCCATAGGTTCGCCACCACTGGGATAGGCCATGTTGGCTGCCTGGAGGGGTACAGTATGCAATTAAACAGAGAGGCAAGGGAGCGTTCGGAAGTTCCAGCTCTGAAATCGGGCTGCTCCGAGCTTGCTCCGTCAGTGGCTGGGAGAGTTGTGTTTGCGGTTTTCCGTGGGACCTTTCTCAGCTTGGTGGTTTCCTGCCGCTCATGTGGGTAGAGGCCGAGGCACGTCAGTTTTTAAGCTTTGAACTTGGAGAGAAAGGAAACACATGGCGGCACAGACACACACAGCAACCCCGGAACCATTTTATGCGTAATGTCTCTGTGTGAGGCAATAGGAAAGCAGTAACCCTGTTAATCAATGCTTGTTTAATGCAGCCACCCCCCCACACAGTGTGGGGGATGCTGGCCCCTCCCACATGTGGCCCACTGATCCGTGTAGAAAGAAGCAGAGTAGTTTTTTCCCAGATGGCGCCCATCAGTGTTGGGGCCTTTGCACCTTGTGGTTTTCCTATATGCAAGCAATTTCCCCACCAATCAAAGGAGTTCGCCTGGTGGGCATATGACAGAGGGCCTTTTCGGTGGTAGCCCCGTTGATTATGGAACAGACCTCCCCAGGGAGGCTGGCCCCCTTACTTTCAATCTTTAGGAGGCAGTAGGACTGCAGTAGGACCGAAGAATAGATTATTTTGAATTATGGTGCTGGAGAAGACTCTTGAGAGTCCCTTGGACTGCAAGGAGATCAAATCAGTCAATCCTAAAGGAAATCAACCCTGGGTATGGTCTGCTGGAAGCTCGTGGTTCCCAGCTGGGCCCCATTCTGGTTTTTCTGCTCCCCCTGACCAGACTGCGGGCTTAAAGCACTCCAACTTATCTGGCAAGCATCCCCCCCATCAGGAGACCAGATGTCACCATAGAGGAATTTAGGGTGTGGTGTAGGGGCTAGCGTGATTGGCTAGGGTGTGAGAGGTCCAGGTTCGATTCCCTGCTCTGTCATGGAAACTCTCTGTGTGACCTTGGGCCCCTCACAGACTCTCAGACTAACCTACCTCATAGGGTTGTCGTGAGGAAAAATGGAGGTGAGGAGAGTGATGTCACTTCCTTTGGGTCCTCGTTGGGGAGGAAGGCGGGGAATAAATGAAGTAGATTAAATAAATGAATGGATCTGGCAAGCATCTCTCCCAGCAGGAGTTTAGACGTTACCATGGAGGCATTTGGCGTGATCTCCTGTTTTCTGCTGGGAGAGACACTTACCAGATTCTTCGCTCGGGGGTGGTCGTGGTAGTCTCGCCCCAGCCAGGTTGCTCTGGCTCAGTGGTAGAGCCTTTGCTTGGCACGCAGAAGGTCCCAGGTTCAATGCCCGGCATCTCCGGTTAAAAGGGTTCAGGTAAGAGGTGATGTGAAATACATCTGCCCAAGACCTCAGAGATTTGCCACCCCCTCTTTCGGCGCAGCACGGGGATTCCCGGAAAAGGAGAAGTCTGATGCTGCAGAGCAAAATGGGACAAACTGCGTTCTTGCGCCTGGGACTTCTGCGTTTTTGCGCAAAAACATCTGCGGAAATGAGGGAAAGCAGCAGAGGAATACAAGTGCAGGAGAACTGTCGATGCAGAAACTGTCTGAGTAGACAATACTGACCCTGATGGACCAAGGGTCTAATTCAGTATAAGGCAGCTTCACACTTGGGGAAGGGAGCAACGATGTCATGTCGGAGGAGGAGAGGTCCTGTGGCTCCCACTCTGTGGTACCCATGTGGCTTTACAGGGCCATGCTCAGCATCCCAGGCTGAAGAAGTTTGGATGTTGTTTTTGGAGCAGGCCCATGCAATATCCTTGCCAATACAAAGGTCACAACAGAGGGGAAATCAGCATCACTGGCACCTATTAAAAAAAACTACTTCAGGGCTTTCAAACTTCATACCAGGGGGTATTCAATGGCAGACAAACTTCTCCACAAAAGACAGCACTAATCTCTCCACTAATTTCCCTTCCAATGGGCAGGCCTGACTAACTGCCTGTCAGAGCAGAATTTGCACCCAAGTCCAACCCCCAGAATTTTCTGCCATGCTGAGGGCTCCTCGACAGACAAACCAGTGCAGAAGAAGTTCCCTGAAACTCTGCAAAGGGCTGAAACAAGAAGAAGAAGAAGAAGAGAAGAGGAGGTTGGATTGGTACCCCGCCCTTCACTATCCAAAGGAGTCTCAGAGCGGCTGACAAACTCCTTTCCCTTCCCCTCCCCACAACAGACACCCTGTGAGGCAGGTGGGGCTGAGAGAGCTCTGACAGAAACTGCTCTTTTTCAAGGACAGCTCTTACCAGAACTACGGCTTGCCCAAGGTCATCCAGCCAGGTGCAAGTGGAGGAGTGGGGAATCAAACCCGGTTCTCCCAGATTAGAGTCCGCGCACTTAACCCCTACACCAAACCGCACACTTAACCACTACACCAAATAAAACCAATGCTCCATCTAAGCTGTGGAGTCTTGTGGGGAAAATTTCTACTGTGTGAGCTACTGGCATTAAAGTTGTGAGCGAGCGATTGGGCTGCTGCATCAATTAGTTTGCTCTGGAGCCCATCCTTCCCGAGCAAAGACAACAATGTGTGAGAGCCGGAGGCTAAAAAACTGTGAGCTAGCTCACACCAACTCAGCTTAGAGGGAACACTGAACAAAACCCATCTCTTCGGGCTTACCTTGCAGCAGTAGCAGAGCCAATGTACAGAACAGAACGGAAGACAGGGGCATGTCGAGGAGTCTACTTCTGTGCTCTGGAGAGAAGACTTCCTCTTCACTGCTGAGGTCTGGGCCCTGCCGCCGGCTCCTCCTTTTTAACAAGGCAGGGGGGTTCGTGTGCCATGACTTCATCAGTCCCTGCACCTGCCTCCTCTTCTCTGACTGCTCCCCCCACCTACCTTCACACCTCTGAGCTGCGACACTTTCCTCTGCGGCTCCCGTCAAGAA